ATGTATTTATATGTATGTAATGTATTAGAAATTGGTTTATTAACTTCAATTATTTTTGCTTCAGCCATTATTACAAACTCGTTATACCTACAGTTAAAGTTACTTTTTTCTCTAAAATACTAGTTAAAGATATAAAGCCCACTCACTAAACATAATCAGCGATATTGTTAAGCAGTTCCGCTTCCTCCTTACAAAGTAATTTAACGTTTTTAGTTAATTTCTATCTAGCTAATTAAAGTTCCACAGTAACTCAATGAGAAGAAGAAATGTTTTAAAAAATGTTTTAAACTAATATTTGTTTACAAAAATAAATGTTTTAAATTTATATTTTTTAACTTGTCAACGTTTTGTAAATATATTATAGATTTAATTAGTATAATCTTATTTTTTATATATAAGGGATGTATTTATATGTATGTAATGTATTAGAAATTGGTTTATTAACTTCAATTATTTTTGCTTCAGCCATTATTACAAACTCGTTATACCTACAGTTAAAGTTACTTTTTTCTCTAAAATACTAGTTAAAGATATAAAGCCCACTCACTAAACATAATCAGCGATATTGTTAAGCAGTTCCGCTTCCTCCTTACAAAGTAATTTAACGTTTTTAGTTAATTTCTATCTAGCTAATTAAAGTTCCACAGTAACTCAATGATTTAGTTATTTCATTTGTTCATCTTACTAAGAAGAATTGTTTCAAATATGTTAAACTTTTCAAACTACGCAAAGCATAAAACAGGTACTGAAAAAACTTTTTTTATTTATAATTAACTAATGTAGCGTTAGTTTTATTGGTTTAATCTTGTTGGACTTTACAGGGCCGGGGGCTGCATTATTTTGGTGGCCTTTTTTATGTGTGACAGCGTAAAAATGACTTAAAAATACTGATAGGTCCTCTTGACTATTTCTCTGCCCATAACATTGTGTGTCCCGGGACTATAGCTCTTCTACCCCCCCCCCCACACCTCTTATTTCCAGCACTGGCAATAAGACATAAGTATATAAATTAAAATTATATATAATCTTTGATAAATTGAAGAACATTTGTTTCTTTATTAAACAATCATTATTAGTACGTTGTTACTATAAACAAAAAATGTCGCTTTTTTTTTAAAAAAAAATTATTAAAGAGCGACGTTTTAAAAATATTTGCTCTAATCGTATTTATTTAGCTTAAAGTTTTTTCGCGTTTTTTTTTATTTTTATTTGCGTTAAAAGCTATTTTTCTTTTTTTAACTGTCTCTCATCGGTCCAGTTTATCTTATTGCGCTTTTTTGCTTGTTTTTGAAATGTTCTCAAAACGCCTCAAAAATCTGGCCGGCTTTTCATAACTAAATATAATTTCAGTGGTCAAATATCGAGTGCAATCGCACCCGCTTCCAGACCAAGCCTGATATATATATATATATATATATATATATATATATATATATATATATATATATATATATATATATATATATATATATATATATATATATATATATGTATATATATATAATATCTACATCTTCATGAATGTGTTGGTTTACGCTGATGATATGGTTCTTATTGTACCTTCTTGGTTTCCTCTTCAAAAACTAATTAGTTTTACAAATAAGGAACCTTCTTTAATTAACATATCCTTTAATACCAAGAAAATTGTATGTATGGTGTTTAATCCAACTAAAAAATTATATATATTACTATTATTAAAAATATATTTTTAATAATAGTATATATATTTTAAATAAGCATTACTTATTGATTATATGATTTTAATACAAGTATTATACTTTTTATAGAATGTTATATAGGCAGGGCTTGAAATAACAAACTTTCTTGTTCCTGATATTTTGTCCTATAAATACTTTGGTTTGGCAGAAAAATTTACTTTTTTTATAATTTTTGATGGGTTTTGTCAGACCATGCATATAATATTTTGTTTTTAAAACTCGACCGTTTGCATGTTTTGACTATTTAAGCAGGGTGAAAAAAGAACAAATTAAAAAATGTCTGAAAAAAGAAAATCTTGAAGAAACTGAAAATGAAAAATATTAAACTATATATATTTTTATATATTATTTTATATTATATTTATATCATAATATATTTTATGTATTATATCTTAAAAAATATATATTTTTTTACTTATTATTTCTAATGATTGTTTACAATATACCCATTTTATAAAAGTTTTTAAAGAATAATATACATCATTTTATTTATTTATATAAAAATGTATTCTTCATTATAAATTTAAATCTTTTTGAATTTTAATATTGCATGTAAAAATATTGAAAAGTATTAGACTAAAAAAGTATATTAAGCTATTTTGAATAAATTTCTTGTGTAGAAAATCAAAGGCCATGTCTTACAATTTAATCACATGCTATTTGATGGTCATATAATGTAAAAAATAGGGTTTATATTGTTATTTTTAACTTCATTTTGAAAATCAATGTATTTAAGAAAGTTTTAAGGGCCAATAATTTGCCAAATAAATTTTTTTAACAGAAATATTATTTGTTTTTGTTTTACCAATTGATACACAATAAAGTCAAAATTTCACTTAATTTGAACATTCAAATTAAATTATTTTTGGCGGATAAAATTAAAAGATTTCAAAATTTGCATCACAGGGTACCTTGATGTGTCACTATCACCCCATATAAGTGGCGTTCTTTGGTTAGCTAGGTTGGCATTATCAGAATCCATGCTAACCGTGAGTAACTAAAAATTTAAAAAAATAAAAAATTAACACAAGGTTTTTAAAATATTAGACCTGATAATTGGGTTATACAAACTAATTGTTTTCCTAATTTTTAAGTATATTTTTTTCATTTTTTAGCATTTTAAATTCATTTTTTAAATTCTGCCTTAAAAAGCATTCTAATTGCTTATTCTCACATTTTTTCCATTGTCATTTTTTAAGACATTTCTCATTTTAGTAAAATGTTTTTTTAAAATAATCATGAAAACAGGATTTTTGGAAACCATTTAGAATTGTGATTTCTCAGGAACTGTTTAACATAAATGTGGTTCACATTTAACAAAAAATTTCAGTGTGAACTTTTCTTTGTAAAGTGCAACCATTCTTTAGTAAGGGTAGTGAAGTAGGGTGTGTCGATTTTTATTTTTTTTCCAATTTCAAAAACGGCAAGGTTTCTTTTGGTGAAGAATTTTATGGAGATTCTGAATCTGCAAAAAAAAAAAAAATTTTAATGTCTTGCTGGGTGGGTCAGCGTTGTTTTGAACGGGAAAATGACTAAAATATGACTAATTAACAGGAGGAAACTATAATTAAAAAAAAAAAAACTTTTTCGAAAATTTTTGATTAACTTAATAATTTTTATGTTGAATTTTAGGAAAGTTTAATATTTGGTTCAAAAAGTCATAAAAACAAACACAGAAAAGGAGTTTTTGTGAAGTGTATTTTTACATATATCACACACTTTTTTCATATTTTAGACAAAGAATGTTACGGTAAAGTGTATTGCTTTTTTCCTGTTTTTATCAAACTTTAAAAGTAAGGGGAGTTCTATTTTGTGAGGAATTTTATGGGGAATCTGAATCTAAAAAAAATAAAAAAATAAAAGATGTCTTGCTGGACGGAATGTTTAGTTTTCAACAAGAAAATGACTAAAATATGAAAAAAAAATTATAAATAAAAAAAAAAAAACTCTTTTTAAATATTTGATAAACTCAATACAAATTATGTTGAACTATATAAAAATGTCATACTTTGTTAAAAAGTCAAAAAATAAACATATAATGGGGGCTTTTATGAAGGTTGTTTTAAGAAAAAGTTTCAACATTTTTGTGTTTTAGACAGAGAATGTTACCGTAGGGGGTGCGCTGACTTTTCTTAAACTAATAATAAGTCAAACAATTTTGTTATAATAAACAGTATATTATATACTAATATATTTATAATATATATTATATAATGCCAAATGTGCTTTATTAAAATTTAAATATAATTAACAATTAATAATTTATAAATTTTATTTAAAATTTGTGAGTCCAACTAAGTTATATTTAGCATTGTTTTTGCTCATAAAACCCCTACTGATTTCTTGTGCTCAAATATATTCTTCTCGCTTCTCGTGGGAATATGTTTTGGCACAAGCCTCTGTAACCTATATTAAACATTTAAATAGTTTAGTTATTAAAAGATTTTAAATGAGTTATTATAGTCTCGTAATTGTATAAAATAGAAACCTGTTTAACACAACGTTCAACAGATTGGGAATGGCATGGCCATTCTGGAACAACCATAGGCTTGTGAAAAAATTTTCTGACTTCATGGGTTGTGAGGCTTGTGGTAAGTAGTGGTTCGTATATTGAATCTTTCCACTCAATTAGATTGGTCAAATTATCAGCATCAGTATTTATGCATGGGGTTTTGCGAATTTTTACTGAATTATCTCCAAACTGGGTGTTATCATCTCCTACACCTCTAATCTCAAGCACCTTTTGCACTCCGAACTTTCGTTCCTCTTCATCTTTAGAACACAAAAGAGTCTGAATAATGCATTCACTAAATGCAAACCATGCAGATCTCATTATAGTCTTCATTACTATTTCAATAACCTCTTTTTTTTGATATCTTATTTGTTTCAATTGGAATAAAATATGGCGAGGTCTATCTAACCAGGAATGTTTTACCTTTATTTGAAACCAGCAAGGAAAATTCACACCAACTATAAATTCAATAATAAAACGTAGATTTCTATAGTTTTTTCCTGTTAGAAAATGAATTGAAACCCACAATCTACAAAAACGGTTGGCTGTAGTGAGCCATCTGGAATGAGAAACAGGTCCTATTTCAAGGTTTATTAAATTTTCTGGTAACACTCCAGATCTTATTGCTGTTACAATTCTGTACCCGCAAGCCTGATCAGTCGAAAGGTCCTTAAGTATTTTGCCTGGCAAAACAATAGGTGGTTCACCTAAAGTAATTTTTTCAAAGTTTTTGTTTGCATCCAGATCTGTTACCATATTCAGCAGTTTTCCTAATTCACCAGACCATTTATTGTTTGAAAGTGTTTTTCCGTCTAATTCAACTATTAGATGTCTGAGTGGTAGTTCATTAGTATGAAGAGCGCATATTAGCCAGTTCAACCTTTTATTAAGTTTTAATTCTACAAACTGTATGACACCTCCTTCCCATCCAGTATTCACATTTGTTGAATCACCGCCCAATGCTTGTATTGATTTGGCAACACCATGTTGAATCATTCATTCAACTAAATGGTTGGCTACTATTTTGGCATGTTTTTCTTCTTCAGTTGATTTTTTTGGTGTAAAATGAAACAAAAATTTGCCACCTGGTTCCATGCATGTAGTGTAATGTTCTTCTTTAATAGATCCGGGAAAAAAGTTACTGGATCCTTCTACTTCTAATTTTACTTTTGTAACGTCTTTTCTACTATCAAACAAAATACAATTGATATTCCCATTGTCTATAGATTTTAAAGTTTCATTTTTTAATTCAATCATGATTTTAGCTTGAGCTCTTACAATTTTTTGATGATCCACAATAAACTGTGTATCTTTCTCAGAAATTAATCCAGCATCAATCCAGGCAGCTGTCGTCAAAGCTGCAGCAGCTCTAGAAGAAACTCCGTATCTGCAAATATAAACATTTTTAGTTATATTTTAATGTAGAGAAATTTCTTTTTAATTTAAAATTACAAAACATATTTTACCTAAGGCTATTTATTGCGACATTTCGAATACTTTTAGTATTATATTTAGACTTCGTAAGAGAGTTCATCTTCAGTCATTGAAAAATCATTGCTTAAAATTTTATTTGTTGTTATGCTCTCTTCCCTTTTTCTCTTAAAAGCTTCTTTAATAGAATGATTATGTAATGTTTTAACTTGTTTGTTGTGTTCAGGCAAATCTTTGGAAGATATTTGAAGCAATCCTCTAGCACCAACTTTATCTCTTTCAGTTTTAATATAAAAAATGTCCATAATAGGAATTTTAAACTCCTTAGAGCAGTTGCATGTAATGTGGGCTTGTTGTTTACAAACAACTTTGCATCCAAATTCTTTACAATAAGAAATTTGACACTTACAATTTGAAATATCAAACAACTTATCGAGCTTTAATATAAACTCTTTCTTATTTTTTTTATTTTCTTTGTTCACAGATATTAAAAATGCAATGTTCCAAGCTTTTATAATTTTGTACACGATATTCTTTTCAGAATAAATAATAGGAGCTTTAAAATTAGCGTTTGCTTTTTGCCATTGGACAATAACAGAACATGCTACCTTTTTTGCCATATCTTTTATTAAAAAAGTTCTGGAGTTTTTATCACACTGTTCTCTTAATAGAACTGCATATCGAAGTGTGTCTCTATATGTTGGAAGTTCAGAGAGTAACAACTCCTTTCCAGTACCAATGAATTCAGTTAAGGAGGTTTTTTTCATGTTTCTTGTCTTTATCAATAACTTTTTGTTAAAGGTTGCCATAATTTGTTCCACAATTTTCAGTATTTATTTTAGTTTATATATAATCAAATTTTCTTCATATAATCTTATTTAATCACTTTTTTAATCAAAAATGTATTTCATTGACATACTTGTCACTTATTTATAAGTAGATGTGAAAAGTTATTAAATAATAAAAGTAATGTAATTCCAATTTACAACTTTAACAGCTGCTGTTAAAAGAAAATACAATTTTTTAAAATCGACTTTGAATAAAATGTTTTGACAATTTTTAATTAACTAAATGAAAAGTTTTATTAAAATTCAGCATATTGGGTATTAAATTTATTTAAAATAAGCTTAATACTCATTATGAGTAATAAACTTATTTTTAAGTTTATTGTAGTTTGATAAAAACAGGAAAAAAACAATACACTTTTACCGTAACATTCTTTGTCTAAAATATGAAAAAAGTGTGTGATATATGTAAAAATACACTTCACAAAAACTCCTTTTCTGTGTTTGTTTTTATGACTTTTTGAACCAAATATTAAATTTTCCTAAAATTCAACATAAAAATTATTAAGTTAATCAAAAATTTTCGAAAAAGTTTTTTTTTTTAAATTATAGTTTCCCCCTGTTAATTAGTCATATTTTAGTCAAATTCCCGTTCAAAACAACGCTGACCCACCCAGCAAGACATTATTTAAAAAATTTTTTTTTGCAGATTCAGAATCTCCATAAAATTCTTCACCAAAAGTAACCTTTCCGTTTTTGAAATTGGAAAAAAAAAAAAAGATCGACACACCCTAGTGGTGAAGTCATACCTTGGATGAATGATCCTATGTTTATCAGTGGTATGTCAGCTTATCGTTGAACTCTGTTCAACATCAAGAGTTGACTGATGACAACAAAGATATTTTTGGAAAACCTGTTTGCAAAGCTAAAAGTTTACCATTGGTGGAATTTATTTAACTTTGGTGGAATTTATTTAACTTTGGTGGAATTTATTTAACTTTGGTGGAATTTATTTAACTTTAGTGGAATTACCCCATTGTTAAGACATCAGGGTAATTCCATATGAAATCACCCAAATATAATAATTTTACATCACTTTCAGTCTATAATAAAAAAATAATAACTGCAAAAATTTTAGTTAAAAATAGACATGGGTTCCAGAGATATCATCAGTTGAAATAATGCTGACTCTGCATTTTAGTGATTTTCTGAAGCAACTATAAAGCAACTTTGACATAAAGTATCTTCATAATGGCTTGAGGAAATTTCCTAAAATTAAGTACCCCAATAGGTTTTTACTTGAGGAATCCAAAAATAGCACCTTCAAGACTCGATTGTCTCAAGAAATGCCTCGTTAGGTAAAATGAAGACCAAAATCCAGAGTAAAAAGTTTAATTGTATATCATTATTTCATTTTAGGTCTACTAAAAAAAAGTAGATTCATCAATTGTCTCAAAATTTAAATTTTGTAACAAAAGCAATTAAAATATTTTTTAAAACATTTTTTGAGTAAAACATCAAATAGTGTTATTTGTTGACTAGTTTAGGAAATTTATAGTCATGGTTCAAGGGAGGTCCAGGGGGCCTTGGATGAACTTCCTCCCCCCTCCCATCTCCTTTTTTTTTTTTTTTTTTAACATAAAATACAATTTAAAAACGTATTTTTTTTTTGTTTAAGTTTGAGAAACAGTTTATTTTCATTATTTCAAATTGGTGAATTAAAACCTCATATTTTAACTACTCCAGGTCAGGTCAGGATAATCGAGATCAATCTTGCTACTGGTATCACGTAACCCAGTACAACCTGCCACAAGCCCTGCTGCCTTGCAGAGTGTGCTCTTCTTATGCAAAGGCTAGGAGAAATAAACTCCGACTAAAAATTCCCCTGCCTTGCGGCTCTTGGTTGAGTAAATGCTAGAGATGGTGTCTCGATAAAAACACTCATCTTGGGCAGATGTTAACTGCATCCAGCTAAACATCCCCTGCCTTGGGGCTCTTGGTTGAGTAAAGGCTAGAGATGGTGTCTCGATAAAAATACTCATCTTGGGCAGATGTTAACGTGAAATCAAGTTTGAATCCTTTGACCATTCTTTTATGTGCTTTCGCCTAGCACCTCTTCACTCTATCACCTTTCTCTTTGTTCTTTATCGTTCTCCTTCTTCCCATGATTGCACTCTTTTAGATGTTATCTCTGATCAAATTGACCATGCCCTCTCTCTTTACCCCTCTGCCAATATTGTTGTTGTTGGTGATTTTAATGCCCATCACACTGAATGGCTTGGCTCTAATACCACTGATCCTGCTGGCACTAAAGCCTTTAACTTCTGCGTTTCTCAATCTCTTACTCAGATAGTTAACTTTGTGACTCGTTTTCCTGACAACCCTAATCATTTACCTTTTCTCCTTGACTTATGTCTTGTCTCTGACCCTAGCTTATGTTCAGTTTCTCCCTTTTCTCCCTTAGGTGGTTCTGACCATGCAATGATCTCTATAAATCTTTCTTCTCGTACTTCTTTTTTGGGCTCACCTTATCATCGCACCACCTACTACTACCCTAAAGCTGACTGGGATTCCTTTCGTGATTTTCTTCGTGATGGTCCTTGGGCTGATGTTTTTTTCTCTCAGCTGACAAATGCGCCTCCTACGTAACCTCCTGGATTCAGGCTGGAATGGAAGCTTTTATTCCTTCTCGTCGGTTTCAAGTCAAGCCTCATTCTACTCCATGGTTTTCTCCTTCTTGTGCGGCTGCTATATCCAATCGTAACCATTTTTTTCATTTTTTTCAAAAGAACAACTCTCTTAAGAACAAACAGCTATTTATTATTGCAAGAAATCGATGTAAAAAGGTGCTTTCTGATGCTCAACTCCATTATTCTCAGTTCACTAAATCTCGCATCTTATCGCAGAAGTTAGGCTCTAAAGACTTTTGGAAAATCTTCAACAGCATTGTTAACAAGGGTAGATCTAACATTCCATCTCTCATTCATGGGACTGATCTTGTTACCTCTCCCAGGGATAAGGCAGAACTGTTTGCAAAGAACTTTTCTTCTAATTCCACTCTTGAATCTTATGGACATTCTCTTCCTTCCATTCCAGTCAAACAGGTTGACCCATTGTTAGACATTCAAATCACTCCGGCTTCTGTTGCTAAAGTCATATCTCAATTAAACTCGTCTACAGCCTGTGGTCAAGACAACATTCTTGTCACAGTCTTGCAGAATTGTTCTCCAGAACATTCTTCAATTCTCTCTAAACTATTTAACAAGTGTTTGACTGAGTCTTGTTTTCCTGCTTGTTGGAAAATGACATCTGTGGTTCCAATATTCAAAAACTCTGGAGAAAATTCTGACCCCTCCAATTATCGTCCGATCAGTCTTCTTTCTGTTATTAGCAAGGTCTTTGAGTCTTTGATCAACAAATTCCTCACATCTCATCTTGAGTCAAATAAACTGCTGTCAGACAATCAATACGGTTTTCGATCCTCTCGCTCTACGGCTGACTTGCTAACTGCTGTAACTGAAAGATTTTATCGTGTTTTAGATGGAGGTGGTGAGGCTAGGGCTATTGCTCTTGACATATCTAAAGCTTTCGACAAAGTTTGGCATGCTGGTCTTCTCCATAAGCTTGCTTCATATGGTGTTTCTGGGAATGTTTTTGAGATTATCAAATCATTTCTTTCTGACAGGTTTATTAAAGTCATCCTTGAAGGCCAACACTCTTCTTTATTTTCAGTAACTTCTGGGGTTCCCCAAGGTTCCATCCTGGGCCCTGTTTTGTTTCTTATCTACATAAACGATCTTCCTGACAACCTTTCATCTAAATTAGCTCTTTTTGCTGATGACTCAACTTTATAATCCTGTCTTGACAAAAAGTCTTCTCTTTTCGATCGCCTAGAACAAGCAGCTGATCTTGAATCTGATCTCACTTCAGTAATAGATTGGGGTTCACAGTGGCTTGTGAATTTCAACTCTAAAAAAACCCAATTGCTTACTGCAAACAACTACAGTAATATGGTCAACATTCCTATATTAATGAATGGCAATCCTCTTACTGAGTCCTCCTCTTTACGTCTTCTTGGATTATCGCTTACTACTGACCTTTCATGGAAACCATATATACAATCGATTGCTAAATTAGCTTCTGCTAAGGTTGCTTCTCTTTATCGTGCTCGCCATTTCCTTACTTCTGATTCCATTCTCTACCTCTACAAAACTCTTATTCGTCCCTGTATGGAATACTGTTGTCATATTTGGGCTGGTTCTTCTAACGATTCACTTTCTCTTCTTGACAAGGTCCAAAAACGCATTGTAAATGTTGTTGGACCTGGACTATCTGCTAAGCTTGAACCTCTTTCCCATCGTCGTAAAGTTGCATCTCTTTCTCTTTTCTACAGATACTATCATGGTCACTGCTCAAAGGAGTTATCATCTCTAGTTCCATCAACTAAAATTCATTCTTGTTTTACTCGTCATTCAGCTAAGTCTCATTCGTTTACTGTATCTGTCCCTGCATGCTCTAAAAACTTTTATTCATCTAGTTTTTTTCCCCGCACTTCAATCCTTTGGAACTCTCTCCCATCTTCATGTTTTCCTGACTCATACAACCTTCAACTTTTCAAGCCTTCTGTCAACCGTTTCCTTGCTCTATAACTCTGTTCTTTTTTTTTCCTAGTAACTCCCAACTTGATAATGGTTGCTTGCAGCCTTGTTGGGAGTGAATGCAAATAAAAAATATATATATTATATCAAAAACAAGTATAAGTTTTGTTTTGTTCTTTTTGAAGATACTTTACTTATTTGTAATTTCCTAAAGAATGACTGTGAATTTTATTTTTTGGCAGGTAATAAATAATAAAAGTATTTAATATGGAGAAATGTGACATTGGAAAAAGTCTTAACATTCATTGCCACAAAACTGGATTTTCTAGAAAACAAAGTTTTGTTTAATTTAAAGACCTTCCTTGTGAAAAACAAAAAGAAATAGGATGGCGAGCAAATTTAAAAGAAAAATATAGTTCAATAAGAATTATATGTTGTTATCATGAGCAATTCTATGGAAAATATTTTGAGAGAAAAATTACTAAGTGCTGCAATCCTTTTGGAACACACAAAGAAAGTAAAAAAGTTGCTATAAAAGGTAATCTAACATTATTTACAACAGAATTGATATGGAAGTTAAAAGAAAAACAATTTATCATTTATAAAATTTTTTATATTTTCAGTTATTTTAAAAACCTAAAACTAAATTTTCTTTTTAGGTAATATAAAGATTTCCATTGACATTGCAAAATTTTTGCAAGAAAATAACGTTTATGTAACTCCAGGTTGGAAATTCTGCAGTAAATGTTACAAAAAAGCAGTAGAAACTGAAGAAGATTTAAATTCACAGGAGGAAAGGGAATCAAAAAGTGAGAAAAAAGTTAAGTTAGATAACACTATAGAATTGCTTAGAATTTCACCAGTCAAACTAAAAAGTCTTTCAAAACACAGCGAATTGCCTGTAACAAATTAAAAGTTTAAGAACACTATTGACAGAGTTGCAAAAATGGTCTCATTAGCATATAATATTAAAGAAACTTCTTTAACAACAGAAATAAAAAGCCCTATTTTAAACAACAGCATTAACAATGACCATGATCTAATGTATGAATAAAAAAAAAAAAAATCAGAGACTGACTGTTGTTATCGCCATAAGGTACAAATGTTAATGCTCGCACCAAAATCATGGACATGTACAAAGATATCAAGCTACTTTGAAGTGTCTGAGTATCTTGCTCGAACTGCAAGAAAAGGTAAAAATGAGCATGGAATTCTATCATTGCCTGAAAAAAAAAATGGAAACCCACTTTCATCATAAACAGTTAATTTAATGTATTCCTTTTGTAAAGCCAAAATAAGTTCTCGTTTCTCCGCGCAGCGGCCTTGTTCGTCAAGGTTCGTGTTTCGGAGTTATAGAGTTGAGAGAGGGTTATAGCCACAAATAAGTAGCCTCCTCGTCTGTAGTGGCCTTCTCGGCCTTGAGGAGGTGAATTAAAATAAAATAAAAATAAAATAAGTTGAATTTGTAATTTAAGTTATATTCAAAAGAAGAAATCAACCAAACACGATTACAATTGGAAAAAAGATATTCAGGTGGAAGAACTGTTCCTGGCACAAGGATGTATCATCATTTTATTCTAATTGCTTCTAACACTGTTAGTTATAAAAAAACAAGAATTGATACATGCACTGAAATATTTGATATCATTCTAAAAAGCAAACATAATGTAGAGATTTCATTAAACATTAAAAAAATGGATTATATTGCATGTTTTTATGATGGATTTTGGTGGGTAGGGATTGTTGAAGATGTAAGTGACAAGGTACAAAATAAAATATAAAAGTCAGATTCATGCATCCACATGGACCAGGTAAAAACCTCTTTTGGCCGATGAGAAATAATGAGTGTTGGGTGCTCAATTCTGAAGTTATATGCCTAATTTCTACACCCACAGCAATATCAGGACGTACGTACAACATATTTGATTTAGATTTAGAGAATATAAGCTGTTGGTTACAAAAAAAAATTAATTACATTTAAAATAATTTATTTTATTTACCTATTTTGCATTAAAAATTTTTCTTTTTTCTTTTTTTCAAATCCTTGGATTGTAGGCTGAGAAGGTGGGGGTGGGGTTTAAATAAATCCCAATCTCCACCTATTATGTCAATGACTATATTATTCTTGAACTACTAAATAATACCATAAAGATATTGATTTTAAAATGTTTGAAAAATATTTCAATATTTTTTGTTTTAAAATTAATAACTTTTTAAATCGTGAAAAGATCCTGAAAATAAGAGGTATTTATCAATTTGAAATAACTAAAGTAAATTGTTTCTCAAACTTAAATTTAAAAAGATATATGTTTTTAAATTGTAATTTGATAATTTTTTATTATTTTTTCATTTTATGTAAAAATAAAAAAAAATTAAAAATTTCAGTATATCGGGAGGGGGGGAGTAGGTCAATCAAGGGCCCCTGGACCTCCCTTAAACCATTACTATAAATGTCCTAAACTAGTCAGCAAATAACACTATTTAATGTTGCTCTCAAATAAATGTTTTTAAAAATATTTTAGTTGCTTTTGTTACAAAATTAAAATTTTTCTAAAAAGACACTTTTAAATACAAACTTTGATCAAGTATTAGAGAGACAATTGATCTACTTTTTTTCAGTAGACCTAAGATGAAATAATGATATACAAGTAAACTTTTTACTCAAGATTTTGGGCCACAGTCTTCATTTTACCTCCAAAAATCATTAATTTACAAGTCAATAATTTTGAACAAAATTGGATAAACAAGGCATTTCTTGCGACGATTGAGCCTTGAGGGTGCTATTTTTGGATTTCTCAAGTAAAAACCTATTGCGGTACTAAATTTTAGGAAATTTCCTCAAGCCATTATGAAGATATTTAATGTCAAAGTTGCTTTGTAGTCGCTACAGAAAATCACTAAAATGCTGAGTCAGCATTATTTCAACTGATGATATCTCTGGAACCCATGGATATTTTTGACTAAAATTTTTGCAGTTATAATTTTTTTATTATGGACAAATAAAAATGAACAAATTCTGAGACGTAAGGATGTCATGGTCTGGATGATTTCATATGGAATAACCCATCAGAGAGATTCTTTTCTTTGCAAGTGATTTTGGCAGCAAAATATGGCTCAACTAGATTTTTTGATTTGCTTCATTTTGAAGTAAGATGTATTCAGATGAGCATTGGTTTTGTAAGCAAAACTGAATATATTGTCAATGATTGCGACTGACATTTTGAAAACATTGGCAACCATTGTCAAATTGTAATTTTCTTAGAATAGTTAAAATGCTTTTAATGGTTCTTTTAAAGACAAAGTTGTTATTTAATTTAAATTGCATACCTTATAGTTGAATTGTATCAAATCCCTCACATTATTTTAGAACTTGTTAACTTTTTTTGATTCTGAGAAGTGTGATGATAAGAACTCAACTTCAACGATTAGAACAAACTTTGATGATAAAAACTAAACTGTGATGAAAGAACTATGAAGAACTAAACTGTGATGATGAGAACTAAAGTATGCTGATGAAAACTTAACTGTGATCATAAGAATTAAACTTTGATAATGAAAACTAATAGCAAAATGTTTATTAAAAAAGGCTTTTTTTATTTAGTATATAATATTGGATAAAATATGTGTTAAAAATATTGATTTTGTATGACCTGAGCTCTATGCAACATATAAGATTAAGTACCCAAACCATAAAATGGGATTCTCCAAATTTTGCAGTCTTTGGCCTCAGCAACTTATCGTTGCTGGTCTATCCTTGCAACTCATTCATAAAAGAATGACATAAAATCCATAATTGTAGACATAAGAAAAAAGTAAAGCATTTTAAGTCTATATTTCCAAATGTCATTATTTTTTTTTACCTGTTTAGCGTTGGGAATTAAAAATTTGCATTTTTTAATGTTTTATTAATAAATGCCACTGGCTAAAATTTGAATGAAACATAATGTGTGAATGGAATGACTAAAATTCTTTTACATGGAATTATAAAACTAAATTACATTTTGTTTAAAGCTTATTGGGATATTTTTACATACAATTTTTTGCATAAGATATTCATATTCTAAACAATTACATATAAATTATTTAGAATATTTTTAAAGAAACTTTTTTTTTAAAGGTTTTAAAAGATTCCACAAAAGCAAGACGTGAATTAGATCTTCATTGGAAAGCATGTGAGTGTCCTTACATTGTAAAAGTCTGGGATGTGTATGAAAATAAATTTGGCAAAGATGATTGTTTGCTTATTGTTATGGAATGGTAAATTTTGATTTTGAAATTAATTTTTTTTTTTTTTTTAATTAAAAAATTTTGACTTAAGAGACCTTGATGTGTTTAAACAAGTTGTCTTTGTTTCATAAAGAAGCAAAAAAAAAAAAATTTATAAAAAATAGTTTTTCATTTTTGATCAAATTATAATAAAATTCTTTAAACTAAAAAATAGTGTGTAGATAAGAAAATATAGAAAGTAAGCGAATTTAGAAAGTATGTAAAGCAAAATGTCTTCCATCTGTTTCATAACCTTAAAAAACTCTATAGAAATTTTCTATAACAATCCAACAGTCGATTAACTGAGCCCTGCAATAAATGAAATCGCCAGAACAAGTAAGAATATAATATTTAATATAGATCTTAACTGAAAAATATATATTTCTAACACAATCAGTGAAAAATATTGGCTCATGTTGATAAACGATAATCATTTTAATATTTTTTGATATTTTTGAATTCTAGGTGTGAATTGGTGAATAACTTTTAAATACCTTATACCTTAATAAATTATAAGTTCCATAAGATACAGCAGTACTGTAAACAAAAAGTTACATTTGTATTCAAAAAAAGAAATCTATTTTAAATGCCTACTATTTATAACCTCATGTTTTTAAAAAAAATAATGTTATCACTAAAAACTGCTTAACCAAAAATGTTACATATCAAATGAATATCATTTTTACTTACCCACCAGGGTAAGTTTACAATTTAATAAATAAATCTTACATTGTCATAAGCGAAACACCTTTTAAAATCAAATAATTGAACCATATTAAAGCTTACAATGTTTTTAAATTTAAAAATGATGCAAAGTTGTTAAAGGAAGATCAGGAATTAAAGTTTAAATAATATCATTCAGTTAAAAGTAACCAACGCAATGGTTAGCAGTGATTGCTCCCCAAATCATAATTTATGGACAGAAGGTGGATTATGTTAGACTAAATAGAAGGTGCTAAATATTATGTTAGACTAAATAGAAATGTTAGAGACTAAATCACCATTTCTTTAACAGAGTGAGTTTTTTGGTCAGCAAACATTGACTTTGTGTGCTACAAATTGCTTAATTTTCACTTTGTCTGACCACATGACACATTGTCACATTTTAACAGAATCACCTTAAAATTCTTGGCAAAATTTGAGGTAATCGCTAATATTTTTTAGAGAAACTTGTGTTTGCAGCATGATAAGTTCGTAACTAAGATGAATGATATTTATGAACAGTTGTTTTAGGCACCTTCAAACATTCTTTTACACTTGTCTTTAATTAAATATTGTACTTGTGCACATTTAAAAAGTCCAAGATGATGTAAAAGACATTAATTTTATGCTCTTATTATTTATTTTATTATTAATTTTATCATTCGTTAAGATTTTTTTTTTAGTTTAGTTTTGTATTTTTTTTTAATTTATTATTTCTTTTTCCAGTTTTTAGTTTATTTTTAATTATAGTTTACATTTCTTTATTCAATGCATTTTTGAAATTCACTAACTTGCTAACATGCAAAGAGCTGTGGCTAAGTTGTTAAAAAAAATGTATGGGTGGACATATAATGTGTGCGACTGCACACGTCTCCAGAGAAGGCTTGATATAGATATGAGAGAAGGCTTGATATAGATATTAAACATATTTAAATATAACATTTTTTGCAAATGAACAAAAAATGCTATAATTAAATTTTTATGTAAGCATGCATACTTATAATACATTTAAATGTTGGAAACTTTTTTTTCGTGTTTCTAAAAATCTTTTAAAAGATAATTTATTTTAAATTTCTTTAAATTATAAGTTAAATTAAATCTTAATTTAATAATCTGCGATGGAATTATTTAAATACTTTATTTTTTTTATTTCTATTTTTACAAAGAAATGTTAAAAACTTTTTTTTATTAACTTGACTCTAATCAGAGCATAAAATGATTAAAAATTACTAAAAAAAAAATTATTTTTTGCAACTTTTTGGAAAAAATAAATGTTTATACAGTTTAAAAATGATATATATATAACACTTTTTAACAACTGAAATAAAATTTGTTGATTCATTAAACAATAATTAGAAGTAATTTGTAAAAGTGTTTTGTGAAACATAAAATAAAACGTTTCTAAAGATAAGTTTTAAAGTAATTTATTTCAAACGCAATTAAAAATCTACAAAATGTTAAGTTTGAGTTTTTTGAGTTTTATTTTAGTTTATATATATTTCTTTTTTGTAAGGAATTCTTTTCTTTTTTCTTTAGTTTTTTTCTAGTTTTCTTCCTACTTTAAAATTAGTTTAGTGTTTCTTTTTTCAGTGCATTCCTGAAATGTTTAAACATCAAGGTTGTGGTCAAGTTGTCAAAAAAGAAAATCATTTGCATGGTCAGCAATAGCATTCAATTGCATGCCATTCAAGTCTGATTATATTTATCCAGCAATGCATATACATATAAATGCATGTATATGCAGTTATAATAGTTATATAGTTATAAGTGTTATAATCACTTTTGTAGCATTTCTTAACAGGATGAAAATAATTTATTGATTTGAAACTATAAATAGGTAAGAAAAATAGTTTGATGTAAAACAAACATAAAAAAGTAACTTAAATTTGATAAAAATAATTTTTGATCTTTAACATAGTTTGGAGGTTTTAAAATTAAAAAAAAATTGTAAAATGGAGCATTTAGTTTAAATTAAATTTAATAAAATAAATTTAATTTTTAATATTTAATAATAAATTTTATTTAAATATTATTAAATAAGTTTAACTTAAATATTATTGAATAAATTTATTTTTTTCAAAAATGAAAAGTAAAAAAAAATTTATTTAACTATATGTTATTTTATCAAAAAAAAAAATTATTTTACAATTGCAGCGAAAAAAATTTTTTGTCAGTAATTAATAACTGCTTAATGTTTTCTACATAAACTGTTTCAAAAGACTGTTTAAATACTAAAGAGTTATGGCGTAACGTAAATGGCAAAATAGTTTAATTATATATATATATATATATATATATATATATATATATATATATATATATATATATATATATATATATATATATATATATATATATGTAGTTTTTCACTTACAGGGACAGATTTTACAAAAAACGAACACTTACGGGGACAGCATTGTCAGGAACATTTTAGTGTATTTTAGTGTAATTTTTTGTCCCCATAAGCATGTTTTTTTTGTAAAAAAAAGGTACCCATAAGAAACTTTTATAGAGAATGAAAAGTACATACATCGACTATCAAAAAGCCTGACTCGCAAGGGAGTGCTGCTACATCGATTGAGGGTTTGGTTAGGCCAGGCATTAAGGTCAGGCTTAGGGTTAGGGTTATTGCAAGGTTTAAATTAGGTTATATTATTGTAATTAATCACTTTTGTAAATAAATGAAGTTAAAAATGAAATATAAAATAAAATAAATAAATAAAAATAACAAAAATTAATATAAAATGGTATAAATATGTATATATATATATATATATATATATATATATATATATATATATATATATATATATATATATATATGTATATATATATATATATATATATATATATATATATATATATATATATATATATATATATATATATATATATATATATATATATATATATATATATACACACACATATATATGTAAATAATTGAATTAACAAAACTATATATATATATATATATATATATATATATATATATATATATATATATATATATATATATATATATATATATATATATATATATATATATATATATATATATATATATATTAGGGTGTCCCAAAAAAAATTTTTTTGTATGCATGTTTTTCCCATTCCTTTATGTCTACTGAGTTCAAATATATGACTAAAAAGTTTTTCTGAGGTCAATTTTAGCTATATGTAAAATCTCAATTTCTTAATTTTTGATAAAATTTGAGCTTTTTTTTACCTTTTTTTAGATTCCAACAATTTTACTTTTTTAATATTCCTTACCCTAGAGAATTTAGAAAACCAATGTTTTTAGACTATATAAGAATAAGTCTATCTGGCCTATTTGGTACAGAAGGTTCATTCGAGCATGATTTACAGAAGGGGTCGATAATGATGACTAGTTGAGGAACCTTTGTGTTTTATGTATACTGTTTTGTTTTAACAGGATTTTGTCTATTCTTTTGATTTTAACTGCTTATAGTAATAATTAGTAGTTAAATATGAACTTGTTTTTTCAAATATAATTATGTAGTAGTTATGAATACCTTCAACATACATTTATTTACTTGAAAATTGTATAGTTAAATGTAATTTTTTTAGGGGGACACTAGAATAAATTTTTAAAAATTTGTTTTAGCATTAACTAATAATAAAAGTATTAAATAAAATGGGTCGTACTCAAAAAAACAAAAAAATAAAGGCTGAGAAGAGAAAGTACAACATGTCAACGAATCCAAGAAGGCTGCTGTTTCTTCTAAAGTACACAATCAATGAGCTTCCTATCAACCAGCTGGGAACCATCGGAAATATTCTGAGATACATTCAGTTTCTAAAATCTCCTAGGTAGAACAAATTATTATTATTTTATATATAAATATACTATAAAACAATGATAAAATTTAAAAATGATCTATTTTATGCAATACATATTTAATCTAATTTATCTCCCCCCTAACATTTAAAATGAGACACAATGAGGCAAAAATTTTATGTGAGAACAAAAAATCAATAATGATAAATACTTGTCTATTTTTATTTTAGATCAATAAGATTTCAATCTACAAAGTCGATAGTAGCCTGCCCTCAAAAGCACGAGAACAGGGATTTGATCTGCAAAGATAGTTTCTGCAAGAATTCTGAACAAAGATGTGTTGCCTCCGCTGTAATAGACGCTTGGAAGAAAGCAGGGTTTCAAGATTTTATCATCAGTAGAGATAAAATACTGAAGCTCCATGGTAAGTACATAAATCTGCATCATCTCAAATCATTGAATTGGAACTCTAGCGATGGCAACTTGTCTAAAATACAGAATGAGTTTTTAGAGGAGAGTAATACACTCTTTGATATTTCATTGGCAAATTTTGAACAAAAAGTAAATCAGGATCGTTTTCGTTCGGAGAATGCTAAAAAGGAGGATATTAGGTTTTATCTAGATCAAAAAAGAGAGCGAAACATGTATATTACAGAAGAGTTGGATAAAGTATTACAAAATTCAGTTAAAAATAAAAATATATTTGGCTCAAGAGGATGGAGGAAGCAAGAGATAAAAGTAGTATCACAGTTAATGCAGTAAAATCCAACAAACTTGAAGCTTCTTTTTATTCATCTGGAAATGATTCTGAATCGGAACTTAGTTTAGATTCTTCAGATGATGAAAAATTACCTAATAGATTCAGTCATTCTACTAAATCTAAGATAATGAGTATAAGTGCTGAAGTTATAATATATAATATTAATAAGTATAAGTGCTGAAGATCTGGTAGACTGTACTGCTGCAGTTTTTTGCCCGATTCAGAGTAGGTATACGCCCACAAACTTCATTAGTAGCTGATATTAATCTATCAAGAAGTACCGTTCATAGAAAAAGATTCAATAAAATTGAGATATTAGGAGATAAGCTCAGGCAAGAAATTATAACTACTCTGAAGGGAAAAAAGCCACGTGTTCATTTCGACGGAAAAAGGATAAAACAGATTGAAGAAGATCCAAAAATAACTGTTTCTGTAGAAAGAATAGGGGTTAGTGTTACATCCCCTGATATGGATGACACAGATGACATACTGCTAGGTGTTGTTCAGACACTATGTTCTAAAGGTAATAAAGGCTGAAGCAATTTTGAATTTGCTAGAATACTATGACATTGTAGATCAAATATTTTCTGTTTGCTGTGACACTACTGCATCCAATACTGGAATACACTCCGGAGCTGTTGTTATCCTTAGTTCCATTCTTAATATTCCACTTATATGGTTTCTCTGCAGAAGACATATGCTAGAAATACACATCTCACACTTTATGTAGGCTTTGACTAGAGAGAAGACGAAGGGCCCAAGAAAAGGGCTGTATGTCAAACTCCAGAATAATTGGTGTTTTTTCAAAAAAGAGGTTGACAAGATGATAGATCTAGTTAGGTTTGATTGGAGTCAGCTTCAGGTTGAGTCACCTCTTTATGAAATTGCTAAGAAAGCTCTGGAGTTTGGAAAAGAGGCCCTTCCCTCAAAAACTTTTGTGAGAAATGATTACAGGAAACTATGCGAGCTTTTTGTTTTCTATTTGGGAGGAGAAGTACCTGGACTGTGTTTTCATCAACCTGGAGCCTGCCATGAAGCTAGGTACACTATATTAAAAGAAAAAAAGTTAAGTATAATAAATAACATATAAATAAAAGAATATAATAAATAAATATTAATGGTGACAAAATCTTACTCTTTAGGTTTATGGCTGATGCTTTATACATTCTTACCCTGAGAATAACCAATAAAATCACAATGATTATGAGCGAAGTGGAAAAAAAGATGATAGAGACAGCAGCCTTTTTCACATCTGTCTGGTATGCACCTTGGTTTCTAAAGTCGTACTTGGTTGCAAGTTCACCCTCAAATGATCTTGCAGCTTTTAAGAATGCTTTTTGTATCAAAGAAAAATATCCCAATCTTGGTTCAGCATTGGTTGCTAGTATGCAAAGACATACCTGGTTTTTGACTGAGCAGCTGGTGCTGCTATCTCTGGCTGATGATGATGTAGAGCAGGAAGTGAAAAAAGAGATGTTGGATAGATTAGTTCAGTTCGATGTTCCTGACAAGTTCAAGATTGGAAAACCTGAGCTACTTAGGTTGTTAGGAAAGTTTGTAGAACTCCCCTATAAAAAAATAATAAGAGTTTTTTTTAATTTTATTTTATTAAATGTTCAAAATATTGTCCATCATTATCTATACAAAGTTGCATCCTTTCAAGCCACTTGTGAAACGTTTTTTTATACTCATCTTTGGGTATACTTTCAAGTAGCTTCGTTATGCGGGTATTTTGGCTTTCGATGTCAGTATCGTCATCAAGATTTTTTTTTATCAAGTTGAATAGCCAATAATCGGATAGAGCTAAGTCTGGTGAGTATGGTGGGTGGCAAATTATTGTAATTCCAGCTTGGTTTAGACAATTTGTGACGGTTTGAGTTACATAGGGTAGAGCGTTATCATGAAGAAATTTAAAATTGTGAGTGC